CCCCTCCCCTCCCCGCTCGCTCCGCTTATAAAGGCGGCTGCGAGGCGTCCTCCTTCCTCCTTCCTTTCCGTCGTATAATAACTCTGCGCCTCGCAATGGTATTGGCGGAACGGATTGTTTATTGATATTTACGCGCACTCGCAATGCTTTCACTTCTTTGGCGTTGGATTATAGCCTTGCGGTGTTTTAACTGACCGCGCCTCCCCCCTTCCGTCGGCCTAACACACAGAAAGCTCCGATGGAAAAGCTTGGTGTTGTGTGGGGAGGCCGAGGCTTTGCCAGTAGGCCAGTAGAGTGTGCGAGAGAGAGAAGGAGAACACTCTCAAGGCCGTGCCGAGCCACTAAGTTTCTTTTGGGGATCCGTCTTCCACGCACAAGCTCACTCGCACCTTCCCTAACCTGAGACGTTTAATACACTCGCAACATCCCCCGGCGCGCCTCTTTGTCTCCCAAACCCGACGAGAGGTGGACAGAAACTTTAAAACCAGTCTATATAACCTTGAAAGTCTTTCCTGCCGCCTCACGGCGCCGTTTCTCTCCACTTTCCCGCTGGCTAGGACCTCTACTCGGGACGAGATTGGAGCGCGATGTGCAGCATTCTGCTTCCGGCTAATATTTGTAGTTTGATGTCGGAGGGGAGGTGGCGGCCTGCTCAGCACGTGTCCCAACAGGTGGCCGACAGAGACGGATCGCTGCCGCCGTGGCCGCCGCGCCCGAGCACCAGAGCAGAGCATCACAGCTGATTGCAGCCGTGCCCATTTTGAACGCGGTGCCAGGCGCCAGTTACGGAGGTCTTTGTCGGTGTGGCCGAGGGAGAGAGGGGGAGGGGGATGGGCGTTGGGCGTGATCCTCAGCTCTCCGTGCGACCCCACCTGGCTCGCACGGCCCTCTCTATCTCCTAAGCCTAAGAGGGAGAGAAGAGAGGGGAAATTGATTTTTTGGCCGCCAGGCGTAGCTGACCGGCCCTGTGCTTGGCGCGCTCGGCAGCCACGCCACGCCACGCCACGCAGCACCCGCGGGCCGCGGGTCTGTTCCGTTCGGTTCGCTTCGGCCATGGCTCGGTCGGGTTCGGCAGGGCTCGTCGGCAGGGCTCGGCTGGGGCCGGCGGCGCCACGCTACGCCACTGGGGCGACGGGGGCGCGGAGCAGCGGGTCCTACCCCGGGGCCAAGCCCGGGGCCCCGGCCTTGCCGTGCCCTGCCTCGGCCGGGGAAGGTGGAAGGTTGGCTGGGTCGCGCTTATCAAGTCTCCCCAGACGCACTGGGCCCCGCCGCCCCCGCCTCCCACACACCCCTCTTGGCGTGGGCGGCGCGGGCCCGCCGGGCTTCGGGTGGCGAGAGCAACAGCTGTGCGCCCCTGCCGCCCTGCCGCGGCCGCGCTCGCCGCGCTATGGCTGCTGGCATTCTTCTCCAACACTCCTCTTCCCCTGGAGCGGCTTCTGATTGGATGAGGAGTTGGCGGCCCTTTCCAAACGACGGCACCAAACTAACGAACGCAGTCCTCCCTGCCCGCCCCGTCTCACGGTTCAAATGCACTAACGAGCTTCTTTCCGCGGGCAGGGCAGAGAAGGACGCCGGCCCCTGTCCTACTGCTCCTCCCCTCCTCTGCCTGCGCCTCGCTCGCCGCTCCTATCTCCATGCGAGGTTATCGGCGTGGAAGTGGCTGCTCCCCAGTCCCGGGGCCGTATCCGGCCGGGCCGGGCGCGCTCCGGCTGACCGGCTAATCAGCCAGGATGGGTCGGACCGGGCGGACCCTCGGCTCGGCGGCCTGGACGGACATGAGGGTAGTTAGTCCGCTAGGAGTCGCTGCACAACCCCACACAACCAACCAGCACAGCGATGGGGAGCATTATGGTGATAGCGGTGAAGGGGATGGTTCCACCACCCGATCGTCCAGAGAGTACGTCTGTCTCAGATTTGTTCGGCAAATCGCGGGGGATAGCGCCTGCGACACTCGAGGTAGGCCAGCCCGCAGTACACGCGTGCACTGTGGGCAAGATGTTGCCTACCCACCAGGCGTTTGGAGAGCAAGCAGAGGGATCTGTCCGTTTCGTAATGTTTGTCCTTTCAGGATGCTTCCCAGTCAACCAAAACGATAGGCGGTTATCTCGGCGGCGGCCTCCGTCTAGTGCAATACGGCCTTTCCGCGACGGGCACCTGCTGCTGGCACGATTTATCGTGGACCGCTCCTCTCTTCTGCAAATAGCGGCTGTCGTCGTCATCACCGTGCAAATAACAGCCTTGGCTGTCCGGCCCAGACGGTCCAGACGCACCCCGCCCGACCCTGCCCGACCCGACCCTGCCTGCCGACGACATCGGATCTGGATAAGCACGGCCGCGTGCATGTAGCGGAGGCGCTCCCCCCCCCCCCTCTCTCTCTCTCTCTCTCTCTCTCTCTCTCTCAATCCCCGCTCGTGCCGCCGTCTCCCTCGTTCTCCCCCGTAAGAGCCATGGCCGACGGGCCCTCGGTGTGTATCGGACCGCTCTACTCCACACTCCATCGTAAAAAGGTGCGCCCCGTGGCCCTGCGACCCCCGAGGCGCCCGCGCCCCTATCGGCCCCACTCCGCGCCCCCCGCCCCGCGCGCCCGGCCCGGCGGACGACGCCCCTATCGGCGGACCAATCTCGTTTACGGTTCAAGAATATGGCGCGGAATAGCTTTAACAGCCGGGCGGCGGACGAACAGCGGCGGGGCGGGGCGGGGCGAGGGGAGGTGGGAGAAGGCGGCAGCAGGGCCGTGGCGTGTTGCCTGGGGCGGGCTGGGCCCGCTGGGCTGGGTTGGGCCCCGTCCCCGTGTACATTGTTGTAGAGGAGCCCGCCCTCCACGGCCTCCCTCCGCGCGCCGTCGTGTACGTCATTAGACGCGCCCCGTGTAGTTTGAAATACGCCGTGTTTTGCAGAGGACCGCCGCCCCCGCCCAGGGTTCCGGGTACCGTCAGCACCAGCGCGTCGTTATTCGGCCAGCCAGCTGCACATTACCCGGTCGTTTCAGAAAAAAGTGTTCATCCGGCTGACAGCCGTTACAAACTCATGGCCGTGATCTCGATTCTCGAGACGTGTTGAATGAACACTTACGACATGTTGGTCACCCACGCCTACGAATGTCGAGCACCTACTAGTATCCAACATCTTTGTTGCACGCTCGGGCTGTGGCGCGACGGCCGGGGGAGGTGCGCTGGACCGTAACGCGCGGCTGCTCCTCCCCGCTTTTCATCTGCGGCACACAATGCAGCGCAACACTCCGCGCCCGCAGCGCAGCCTAATCCATGTGGATTGAGAGAACAATAACAAAAAGCTGTGGGAGGGAGGGGGTCGGGGAGCACATATCTCCTCGGTATTCATCGCCGCTGTCGGGCGGGGGTGCTTTTCTTCTTCCAGTCTCGCCTGTTCGCCTGGATTCTCTCACCGCGCGATCCCCTTTCCCTATGAAAACAGGCGCCGCGCCGCCGCAGCGCGCCATTGGGGGTGAGGCGCTGCGTGCCGCTCTCCGTCTCACCCCCTCCCTCCCCCTCTCCCTCCCCCTCTCCCTCTCCTCCTCCGCTCTCTCCGCTCAACAACGCGCCTCCGGTCGGCGAGGCGAGGCGCCTTCGATGAATACACGAACGTCTCCGCGGCAGGAAGGGGTGGGCGTTGGGCGGGGCTGGGCGAGTACAGAGTAAAGTGCAGAGGTCCCGACCGACCGACACCTTGTAAGACAGGACTGCTGTTCAGGTTCAGGGGCAAGGGGGAGGGGGGCAGCTAGGACGGAAATGGAGGGGAAGAAAAGGATAGAGCGCTTTGCCCTGGCCGGGGCCGGGGCCCTGGGGGAGGCGGGCGGGAGCAGGAGCTGGCACCATTACGTCTTACTTCACGGGTTGGAAGAGAATAGGAGACAGCCCAGGTCAGATTTCCTTGGAGGGCCGAGGAGGCCCCCTGCCTCTTTTGTTTCCGTCGGAATGCCGCTGCCGCCGCTTTTACGAGCGCTGAGCGCCGCTCCGCTGCCGACGTTGCCGGTGGAGGGTGGTGGGGGTAGGTGGGGGTGGTGGTGCTGGGGTACGCCGCTCACTGCAGGTACTATCGGGATAATACTCACCGCGGGCTCGGGGCTTGCTGAGCAGGTTGTCGACGATCTTGTCGTAGGACTCCTCATCGGCCACCCCCGAGTCCTTCTCCAGCTTCTCCTTGACGGCGATGCAGACGTTGCGCAGCGCCAGCACCCGCTCCAGCTCCTCGTACGCCTGCGCACCAAGCACAACACACATCACTTATTAACGCGCTGAGTGCGTCGGGTTACACACAGTTGAGTCCAAAAATTAAATATGGGACAGCTTTAACACCCCCGCTGAACCTGAAGAATTAAGCAAAGCAACAATACGGAAACAATATTTGTCTTTCTTAGTGCTACACCCAGAAAATAGCTTCATTAAATTAATGGGGAATCCCTTAGATCAATGGAAAATAATTTCACCAATGGAAAATATAATAGAGTTTTAGCGCAACTTGAAGCAATTTTCCATTAACCTATGGGGAAGGATCCGAAGGATCTTTCAAGGAATCTTTCCCTTGAATCAATGAAATTCGAAATTCCATTGATTCGAGAGAAGTATTCACACTTTATTTCCATTGAATCATCGGAACTGTTTTATGAATGTACATACTCTAAAAGAAATGAGGTTCAAACCCTTCCTTTCTAGAATAAATCAAGCCGCCTGCGAGTCGCTGCGAGTCGAGTCATTTATGTTTCCCAGTATAGCGATCGCTGCTCACACCCGCCGTGGTACGAGCGGCCCCCGCGCACTGGTAATGGCCACCCCGCAGGGAGAAAGGATGCCCTGATTCGAAACACGCCCCGCCTCCCGCCTCCTGCACGCCGGGGCCCTGCAGAGGCTGGGTATCCCTACACGGACGGAGCACGCTCGCTTCTCTTTGGAGGGGTGACTCCCATCGGCCATTCCGCACCAGGCGCGCACTGCAGCAGGTCCGCAGGGTCCGCAGGGTCCGCAGGGTCCGCAGGGTCCGCAGGGTCCGCAGCGCTAGCTAGCGCAGCGTGCCGCACCGGGGCGGTGGGAGCGGGGCCAGCGGGCCGCGTGCAGCGCTTGCAGAACGCACCCAAACGGGCCCGGCCCGCCCTAACGGCCCGTGATTGCCCCCCCCCCCCCTCTAGTGCTGACCAGTCAGTCCCGCACACTCGTGTGTGTGGCTGGACCGGCCCAACTCACTCCATTACCATCTCATAAATTGATCACTCTGCGGCGTCGTGCGTGCAGAGCGCTTCCTCAATGTTTCATTGTCGCCGCCTTCATCGTCAATCATCATTACCATCGCCGACGTCATCATCGTAATTATCACTGTTAAAATTGTTCCTTCTTGTCAAAGGACCATCGGAACGATTCAAGGACGCCCCATGCAATTTTCCCTATCCCGCCCTTGAATCCTTCCGATGGTCCTTGGATATCAAGGAACAGTTTTCACCGTGATCGTTATCATCATCATTATCATGATCACCATCGTCGTCATTACCATCGTTGTCATTATAGTCATCATCATCGTCATCATAGCTACCGTCACCAGCACCAGTAACGCTCCCTCGCCCGCACGACCGCCAAATCATTTCCTCTCGGCGGGTGGGGCGGGTTCGGCCGCTCGCCCTCGTAGGGATGTTGGTCGGCCGGCCGGGCCCCGGGGATGGGACGGAGACACGCTGGACCTCACCCCAATGAGGCCAATCCAATCCAATCGGGGCCCCGGCCGCCACTGATAAGCGTCTTGCCGTCCCCGGGCCTGTCCTTTGTGACCGTGCTTGTGCTTGGCCGTGCCTCCGCCCTCCCTCCTGCCCCACCGTACCCCCCTAAATCGATGATTTCAGTATCGATACCACTCCATCAAGTGGAGGGCGTGTCCTCTCCTCGGCCCGGGGCCCCGCTGCATATTACCACAGGACCAGAACTTGGCCCTCCTTCGCACCATTAGCCGGCTCCGTGGAGTTTGGAGACGGCAGCCTATTGGGGCCGAGCTGGGCGTGGAGAAATCTCAGTAGACCGGCGACCCGGCGATCCGGTCCAGCCAACCGGCATGGGGAGGGGGG